ATGGCATTCTTCCGACCACTCTGTAAGTTACCTAATTAAAGCTTGCATGTTATATGTATTGAGTAGGTTAGCGTCTTTCTTATGGACACAAAAGTAATAAAACAAAAATACCGTGGTACGAATTCACAACGCTCACAATAGACATAAAAATAATAACAAAACAGTTTTGTTCGCACAAAAGCATTTTTTTTTTAACAAAACGAAAACAATTAAACTGACCTAGCGGTCCCCATCTTTGGCTGGAGGCCTGCCCCCAACGCGCCTAAAAACAAAATTGTCCAAAGAAAACACTCCATTTCTTGACTTATCAATCATCACACTTGCACACTTACACACTAAAGGAGTTTTTTTACACACACAACACAGTCAGTCGTACGTATCAGACACCATCACTACAGGGTACAAAAAAGGAAAATCACAGCAAGGAGAAGAGATTTCCTGGGTGGGATTCTATGCCCAGGTCCACAGCGGCGGCGACGCTTACATCGCACTTGTCACCACAGGTATCATACTATCGTCCACCATAAGGTGCTGTTGATGTAGATGGTGGTGGTGGAGGTGGTTGTGTTGTTGCTGCTGCTGCTGATGGTGTTGCTGTTGCTGCTGTTGGTGGTGGTGGTTGTTGAGCTTCTCCTTCTTCATTCTCTGCTTGAGGTGTACCTTGGCGTGCCTCTTCTTCTCGTCGGAGCGCGCGAACTTTCGGCCGCACACGTCACAGGAGAACGGCTTCTCGCCGGTGTGCGTCCTGATGTGCGTGGTGAGGTGGTCGGAGCGGCTGAAGGACCTCATGCAGATCCGGCACTGGAAGGGCTTCTGGCCTGTGTGGATTCTGATGTGCCGCGTCAGCTCGTCGGACCTCGAGAAGCGCCGGTCGCAGTTCTCGACCGGGCAGGCGTACGGCCGCTCGTGGACGGGTGTCTTACTCGGCCTGTTGGGGTACTTCCTGGGCTTGACGGGCACCAGCTTGAGGGGCAGCGGTGACTGCTGGTACACCTGCGACAGGATCTCGTGGCCCTTGCTGGTGGAGGGGTTGTACTCGGCCAGGTTGACGGGGTTGTTGTTGGCGCTGCTGCTGGTGGGGTAGGACTGCTGCTGCTGCTGGGCCGACGGGGGCTCGGCCGCGCTGCTGAAGGGCTCCTGCTTGGGCACGACGCTGGGCGTGGAGCTGCCCATGATGCCATAATCCTGCGCGGGCGAGTCCAGCCACTGGTACTTGTTGGGCTGCGGCAGGCGCGAGTAGTCTTGCTGCTCCAAGCAGCTGCTGTAGCTGGGTGGCTGCTTCATGCAGGGCTCAATGCTGAGCCCCAGGAGCTCCACCTGCTGCTGCCGCTCGTCGTAGTGCTGCTGTTGCTGTTGTTGCTGCTGTTGTTGCTGCTGCTGTTGCTGCTGCCCGGGGCTGGTGCTGGTGGCGTAGTTGGGCGGCGAGGCCGGTGGCTGGCCCAGGATGCCGAAGATGGGTGGGAACAGGGACTTGTCGGGTGAGGGCAGCAGCCAGGGGTTGGGCGAGGGCAGGTCGCCGAGACCGCCCTGCTGGCCGATGGCCATGGGCCCGATAGGCCCCAGCGAGGACCCCGTCGTGGTGAAGATGCCTCGATACCGGATGCTCTGCTGGGGGTACATGCTGCCCTGGCTCGTATTGCTGAGGTCCTCGTCGGCCACCCCGGACGGGCTGCCGCACGCCTCGACCTTGGTGGGCAGGGCGCCGGAGGATGGCGTCGTGGAGGCGGCGTTGGCCTCTCCCGGGCTGGCCTGCTGCTTGTCGGCCGCGGCCTGCTCCATGGACAGCTCCTCGCTCGCCAGCGCGCCTGCAACAGAAAGGGCCCGGGGCATGGTTAGCGCGCTGTTAGCACCACGGCCTCGTCGTGGGAAACGGGAAACGGACAAATAAATAAAATGTGGCTGCCGGGCCCGGCTTTGTGCGGCCGCCCGAGGTCTAGGTCGCGCCGGGTCAGCGGGGCAGCGCGCGCGTGCACTGCACTAGTGCTGCGAGGTGTCCGTCTGTGTCCCTCGTATCGCCTCCTGTGATTGACCGCTTCCTCGCGTCACGTGATTCCGATCGGACCCTAACAAGATGTCCATGATAGGCGCTCCCTCCAAAGCCTCCTCCTTCTCCCTCGTCACTTTCTCGGCACGCGAGCCCACCCCACTTACTAGTTTTCCATCATTGGTTAATATTGATAAAAATCAACAAAAAAGTAA